ATCCATAAGCACGGACATTTGTGTATTTCGGTTCTGCTGAGGTAAAACCTCAGAAGAGTAGTGAGATTACTATATGGGACGTTCCCGAAGAGAACAGTAATTAACTGGTGTAATCTATCTTATATGATTTGTGCTATCTAAGCTATATGATCTTGATCTGATCGGAATATAGGCTTGCTTGCTCTGTATACTTGCTTGGTTCTGTGGATTCTAGAGGGAATCCAGTAGCCTATTTATACTCCTCTAAGATCTAATGACTAAGGAAATAAATACAAATAAAAGGTGGTATACCAGAAGGTGGTGTGCTGTATAAAAGGGGTCATGTGGCTATAGTAATGAGTCACATGCCTTAAACGATGGTCATGTGGCCATAGTAATGAGTCACATGCCTTAAACAGAGGTCATGCTGCCATAATAAGGGTATCTTCATATGGCAAGTGCAATGGAACTTCCCATGGCAAATTCCATATGCTATAGACGCTTATAAAGTAATAGGAGGTGGTTGAAGGCTAGTCCTTCAACTGAGAGCTTAGTTACATAACGTAGTAGTAATATAAAAAATACAAAAGTATATAATCATTTATATAAGTAATGAAACAACGTTCTCCATTACAAGGATTATGAATAAAGTAGTAACGTCAGGGAGGTTGAAGCAGTTATCAAGTATATAGGGCTAGACCTAGTCCAAAGCTATACTCTCTAGTAGGCCATATACATAGGCTAATCAGTACTGAATGGTAGAGAACTTTATAGCATCCCCATTCAGTTTGATCTTAATGGAATTCTTCTAGGCTTTTAGGTGAGTCTTGTTACCATTAAACTTTGATGGGGTGGGGAGATCTTAGGTTTTGGGTGCTAGGGATACTTGGGGTACTGGGGCTATTTGGAATCTAATTGTGTCTAGGGCCCTATTTAGGGTCTGGATGGTTCTTTTTTCATTGACTAAGTCGTTTTGAGTGGTCGCGAGATTGTTTTGATAGGAGGCGAGGTCAGCCTAGCATAAGAAGGAGTTTTTGGTGAGTATTATAACTTCGTCATTGGTTCTTGTCTTATTTTATTGTCCTTTATGTATGGTTGATTCCAGCCATTAACCTAATATATCTGCAGTAAGGTAGATATCGATAATATTCTGGCGATAGCTACCGAAGTCAGCCTGATTTATAGGGATAGGCAGAGCTTGCCAGGCCTGAAATCTGACTATAAGCATGGGAGTGGTGTCTTGGGTAGATATTGAGCATACCAGTTGATCAGAGAAATCCAATGTAGTGTAACTTAGGCTTTAAGGAACAAGGTGACCAAGGGGTACACTGGGGCAAGGGTAGAGCTAGGGCAACATACACCTATGAATACTATATATGTGACTAGAAGAAGGCTAGGACAGGGGGCAAGGGCAAGAGGCAAGAGAGGCAAAGGGCAAGGGGTACAAGATATATGGAGGCAGTTGTCATAGTCACATATATTGGAGGGGGGCAGCTATGCTGCAGAGTTATTCACAGGACAAGGTAAGACAAGAGGGTATATAAGGGAGTACACCTTTGTAGAGAGAGGTAAGATCTGTATTAGGATATAAAACATTGGATAGGGATCCAACAAGAGGGCAGAGAAACAAAGATATATATACATAATTCCAGGCCAAGGCCATGGAAGGAATAAGCTTTCCGAGATTCCAATTTTAGAAGCTAAGATAGTAATTACCTATTGATAACACTTAAACAAGCCTATTCGAGTATCAAATCAAGACTAAGAACATAGTTGTGACAGCAATAACTAGTTGGCTTCTATATATTGCCTGTATATAGTACCCCAATATTCATTATGCTATTTAGATACTCTCTCTCATTATATCTAAACCCTCAACTCATGACTAGAGAAAGGTATTAAAAGTAGTAGTATTCTTTGTAGGAACAAAAAACTTAGGAATATGTCTAATAGGAGAAGATATGAGTCATGTTGATATTTACACTAATGCAGGGAAAGAAGAGTTAGAACTTGAAGAATAGGCGACTAGTAGGATTTTGATAATGGCTAGAAAGTCACCAATAGGATGGGCCTCTAGAAAGCAGGATATGACTACTCTATTATTCATAGAAGCAGAGTATATTGTTATGAGGGCAAGTGTATAGGATGTATTGTAGTTTGGAAAGTTGTTCAATTATTATAGCATTAAGTCTGAAATCTAGCTATAGACAGACAGTCAAGAAAGGGTAAATCTCTTGTACAACCCTGACTTTCATAAGCAAATAAAACATATCTAATAGTGACATCATTTTGTATGGGAATACGTAGAAGAGAGATTGCTGAGCATGCATTGGATGCCTAGTTATAAGAATCTAGCTAATATGCTAACAAAATGCATAATAGGAGAACACTTGATATATCTTGCTGCCAGCTAATCAGAGGAAAGTATTAAGTAAGTGATTACCCAGCTACCTAAGGGATCACCTGGCTATCTAAGAAATACTAGATGTGGAAGAATAGTTGAAAATGCTGGATATGGAAGTGTAAAAAATGCCAGATATGAAGGAGAAGAAAATTTCTTTATGATAGTGCAATTGGTTGTAATAGTAGTTACAGTTGATGAGATGGATGTTATTAATGGGATGAATATTATTTTGTCTATTTAAAGAGGAGTATCTCTACTCTTGTTATATCAATTTTTGTATTGATCATTAAATATATTCTTCTTACCTTATTCACTGTGCAAACACTGTCTTATTTATTTATTTCAAATATGATAGAGTGTATTAATATCTATACAAATAGAGGAGAAGAAGAACTTGAAGAAAAGGCCATTATAAGAATCCTTGTAATGGCTAGAGAATCTCTGATAGGATGGACTATAAGAAAATAGGATATCATAATGCTATTATTTACTGAGGCTGAGTACATTATATTAGGGCCAGGGGCTCAAGATGCTCTATAGATAAGCTGCTTGAATTTCTTGGGATAAGCCCATCAATTCAGCTCTGGAGGATAGTCAGGGAGAGGAAAATCTCTTATATAACACTGACTTTCACAAGCAGACTAAACACATTTGAAGATGACACCATTTTGTGCGGGAATGTGTGGACGAAGGACTACTGACGGTGCATTGGGCATTGGGTGAAGAAAATCCTGCTGACATGTTTACCAAATGTATAGATGGAAACCGACTGAAGTATCTCTCGAAGTTGATAGAAATGATAAGTTATCAGCCAGCGAATTAGGGGGGGCGTGTTGAATGGTAATCCGCTAGCCTATACAGATGCGGTGGAGCGGATGTGCGGGTATTCATGTGAAGGATGGATGCGGTACGGACAATCTCATGAAGCATGTGTTCATGCTGATGCGGTGGAATGTATGTGCGGACATGTTGGATGTGTCCGGATATGGATGGGTGGTCATGTTGTTGCTTGTTACGTTATCGCTCGAATGCTCATGTATTTAATGAGGTCTTGAACACCTGTATAGATCGCTATGGAATTATCGAGATTCACATCAATATTTCTCTGCTCACTTATAATCTTTTCGTCCAGTTACATTCACACAGCCGTGTGTGAGAATCTTCACCATAGCATCTCTTGAAATTCCTCGTAAGTCAATAATTACGAAGGGGGGTATTCAATCTTAAAATAATCAAGCGATTAAATTGAAAAACTGTACTTAATCGACGTTCTAAGCCGAAAATATACGTTTAAGCTTGATCGATACAATTCTGCGGGGTAATTTCTTATCGATAAGATCCTATTTGTGGTTTAGCGGTGCTCTCGAACAAGCATACGTATGTATGGTGACTAAGCGAAAAAAAAATAAGAATATTCTTGTATCCAAAATATGCTTATTTACTATGTGGGACCGGCGAATGTATGCTTGTAATCAATATATGCTTATATCCGGTATGCTTGTATCGAGAGACCTCTGTAGGGGGTACACGAATGCATATATTCGCTATAAGAAGGGGGTCGACCGCCCGAAGACATGCTTGTAACTAGTCTGGTTGGCACAAGCCTCTCGTAGAGGGCTTGTAACGAAGTTCTACTGTACCCGCCTCGCGCACGTGCGCTGCTCACAGTCGTACCGGGGGCACACTTGCCTACGTCAGGATCGTCAGGATCTGGCTGATCGTTTCGCCCTGCACCGCAGCTTGCTGGGTCACGAACTTGTTCCCATGCTGTTCTTGCCTTCGCCACCTTGTACTTGCGATGTCGGCCCTGCTCGACATGTCCTAAGTGGAGCCCCCCCTTTATCTACCCTCTGTCAGTCTTTGCTCTGATCCCATCATAGACCTGCCGCAGCTGATGCATCCATTCAGGCCTTGATCGTCGGATCACACCCGTCCGAGTTGACAACCATTGATATATGAGAGTTAGACGAACATCGTTCTCCCCTGTTTAGTGCGTACGTGAAAGTCCATTATATCGTTGTTTGGCGGAATATCCACGAAGTTCTGGGTTTGCCTACGCCAAATTGTTTAACACCCAGCACCCCTATTCACCTGGAGGTTCCAAAAAACTAAAATACTCTTTGACCAATTATAGCCAGTTAAAGACCCACCACAGTACCCTTTTGATATAACAAGCGTATTATACAGTGTAGTTAGCATTGTTTAGGGGTGTACTATTGTACTACGCACTATTCAGTGGTTGTCGCTCCTATTATACTTTACGTGGATGGGTAGAGATTCTATATGACGCAATTAGACCGTAAACCTAATGATCTTGAAAGGTCTAGAAAATGCTACATGGAGCCGTGGAGTAGTGGGGAAAGGTTAGTCTGGTTGGCATGGAGAGAGGTACATAGTCATTACCTAGGCGGGGCTGTTGTGCCAACCAGACTAGGTAGTCATAGTGCTGCAAAAGAGCAAAAGAATATCAAGTTAATTCAGGGGCGCGATTCGTTGAAAGACTCTTTTCTTTTTTCCGTTTTTTAATCATGCGTTGAAGAAGCCTCATGATGGAAAGAATAGGCAAAAGGAGAAAATTCTTGCTAACATATATTGACAACCCTTCAGAGGCATGGTCGGGGAAATGGTTTAGTGGTATAATACCTCTTTAGCATAGAGGTGGTCCGGGGTTCGATTCCCCGTTTCTCCATTTACTTTTTTGACTTTTCAGAATCTTTTCCAGTGTGAGTGGTGAGGGTGTGCATTTCTTCCCACATACCCAAGGCATACTGTATAAATTACCGCATCCCTTACAGAAGCTAAGCAAGATTTTATCACCTTGCATGTAGGTACTTAGGTTGATATGAAAAACTTAATGATTCACTCACATACAGTTTTTTTTATTTTTTATTTTTTAAATACTTGTTACCCCTATGCGGCTTCGTCAGGGGGGCCATGAGGAGCCACTCGGAAACCCGAGTGGATTCAAGGGTAAGGCAAGTTAATCTGCCAGACCCACGCAAGATAAATACAAATCACATACAGTTAGGCCTAAGCACGAGACGAGACTTACGAGACGAGACGTCCCGAGACACTTCGGCAAAACTCTCGACTTTTTGTAAAGACTTTTCACCAGATATCTGTGTGAGACTGTTTACTTAGCAACCATTGAGACCTACACTACGACAGCCTTCGCTGTAAACTGTGGAGAACCAGACTAGCTTGTAAATATGTGTTATTCAGTACTTAAAGGAGGAGACCGCTCATTATTTGTATATTCCTGTCCTGCATGTTTATATGTACAATCAGCACAATCAGCCATCGGCTGCCCGTACTCTAGACGATTTTAGAGCGAGGGTTAGCGGAAGAGGGTATAATAGAAGGGGATATATTGAAGGCAAAGATGATGATGATTCATAATTAATCAGTAGGTAGCTAGCTAGCGAGTTCGAGTATGGTTATAATTGTGTTGCGATATCCAAAAGTCTCGAGACCACTGCCTCTGCCTACGAGTACGTCTCGTGCCCAGGCCTGCCCAATACGTACAAAAAGATATGAGTGACTTGTAAGTTGTGGGATCGTCACCCCAGGAATCATGTAGAGTGAATCGCGCCTGTTTAGTCGGTAGTGACTTTTCCTGCCTTCCCCAGCTCTACAAATCTCTCTCCTAACCTAACCTCCTCCTCGCCTTCTCTGACACCTCCTTTATCTGTGTGTTCCTTGCCTCACCGAACCTGCTATCCTCCAATTCACTCATACAACGCTAGTGATACTGGGAGGAGCGGTTGGCTAAACTCACTTTTACTGGTACCGAAGTGGAGTATCTAATAAGTATTTAAAAATAAAAATAAAAAATAAGATACTGGTAGGTACTGGATTGCCTGGCGACCTATTTGATAAATTACATCTTTGGGAATATGTACCTGATTTGATATCTTGTGAAAGTGTAATATCTTGGGTTTGCGAATTGGATAGCAGGATGCGAGTCGACATGAGTAATCTACAGCTCGGAGATAAGACTCTGACAAATAGAAATTTTACTGGTCTAAACACCCTATTTCTACATCATTCTGTTACACTGTTATACCTCTGAGGCTCTCTCCATACAACCATGGAGGCCTATGTCTCTTCGGCCAGTGGTGTTTCGCCTAGATTTCGCCTCATTAAAGAGAAGACAATTCCTTAGAGGAAGTGGGACTAACTAGGGAGCTCATTGTCCCAACACGTAGTACCGAGCATGCACCGCCGTAGCCAAGCCCATGGTGCTGCCCAATGACTGACTCCCTTGCTCCTGTGATCCCATGATATTTCAACTTGCTTACCCCGCGTGACTAAATAATCAGATTAGTGTTGACGCCTAGGGAACATTTGAGCTAGGTACGAAGAACACATAATTTAGATTTCGTCTGAGTTATGTCTGAAGACGCGAATAGTCCCAAATGGGCCGTAAATTGTAATCATCCGCGTTTCCGGGTGCCCCCAACTGGGACCAGATGGGAGTACATAATGATATTTTAAAAAAAAAAATTTAAAAAAAAAGTCTGAGGACGCCGGAAATAGAAACACAGCGGCGATATATACATGAGTACGATACCTTCACATGAAGGTAAACTCGAGTATGAACACCATAAGGTTAAGCGTATGAGATAGCCTTGGACTCCGGTGGACTATTGGGGGTACATAGGGGACCAAGCCACGGTGGCGGATGGGGAACTATATGCTATGTACTTAGCGTTACAGAAAGAGGATCCGGACATGCTCGCGATTTTGTCAGTTTCCCAGGCGGCAGTCATGACAGTTCGAAGCTTAGGCTCACCCCCCAGGTCCGGCATTGAGAAAAATATCAAAGCCTTGCTAGTCGGCAACGCACATAGGGACCTCCGGCTCTCGTAGGTTAGAAGCCACCTAAGCATCGAAGAGAACGAGAAGGCAGACCGGATCGACAATTTCCAGTCCCACTTAGGCACGTTCGCAGGGAGGGCAGGCACGGCAACAGAAGGAGGGCTACGGGCTGCATCCAAGGCCTTACGTAAAGAGGCCAGAATGGGGGCGGGACACGGGGTCAAGAGGGTGGAGTGGGACCGACACGCCTTATCAGCCTACACCTGGCTACGCACCAACAGAGGCCCCCAAAAAAGCTTTCTCCACCGTATTGGCAAGTCAGACTCAGCAGAGTGCGCATGCGGTCACCCATCGGAGACAGGAGAACATATCATCTTCACCTGCCCACGCTTCGACCGCCTCCGGAGGGGTCTTTTAGGAGAAAAGCGCAGTTGGTAAGAGCTTGACAAGCCAGAGTGGAGGAAAGAGGGGAAGGGAGCTATGAGGCCACGGAGGCCTTTTTTAGGCTACTATATCACGAGCTGACCTAGTCAGCCATGTCAGGCTCATTCGGTCTAGCGCACCTTCCACGGGTTCAAAGTTGTACCAGTTCACCATTCATCACGAGTTTCCTTTGTATGAGCAGTTCATGTATTCCTTTTCACCAGTCTATCAGTTGTCACTACCTAGTCTCCTCTCTTATCAGTTCTCCATTCCTGTCATTTCCCTAGTCCTTCTAGTATCATTGGTTATCGTTTCAGTCAGTAGTCAAGGCTCAGTCAGGCCTCCGGGTCTCCGGTTAATCCGTTAATGACAGCACGGGGCCTCGCCCCAATTTTTGTATTTAATTTTGCGTGGTTATGGCAGATTAACTTGCCTTAACCTTGAATCCACTCGGGGTTCTGGGTGGCTCCTCATGGCCATCCTAACAGGGCCGCATAGGAGTAACAAGTATTTTAAAAAAAAATAAAAAAAAAGATAGCCTTGGACTGCAAAGCTCGGTATGGGCTGAAGCAACATGTGCATATGACACGTATTTTTCAACAACTACCTACACGCTGGGTTCTTGTAACGTTCACTGATCGTCACTGGACCAACCGCTTCTCGCCAGGTGGAAAGCAATCCGGCGTTGGATAAGTTCCTGACATGACGAGCGGGCAGCATGTGTCTCTACCCTCGTGAAATACCAAAGGATGACCCAGCGACCAGCCCCCGGTCCCCGAGTCAAATAGAATACATTAGAGCCCAGGCTAGAATACATCGTGATATAAAAAACTTCTGGCCGGTCCTCCCGGAAATGCTTATATCACAACTTCACTATAGGCTATTCGAATTATCATTGCTGGAGTAAATACAAATTGGATTGAAACACAGGAGGCAGTGCCTTAATCTACAGGCTTGCATTGGGGCAATTTTCGCTGCAGCCTGTGAAAGTTTATTCTCTGCTACCGTACTGTCGTACGAAAACTATGATATACTGCACTCAATGCTTCCAAACGCACCTAGACTGTAGGAAAAGGATTCTGGTGACGTTATACGAACTTGAGTTCCCACGAATAAGAACTTCCGAGTTTTGAAGGAAACGTGAACATGTAGGGCAACCTGCACCGTGAACAGAATCTCGCTCTTCTCTACACAGCAACCACAGCAACCACAGCAACCACAGCCTCCACGACTCACAGCTTCTCTCTACATCCCACCCTACGCGAGTTCAAGCTTGCCTAGGACCAACCATCCTAATAAAACCTCTATCAGCAAATGGCCATCACTCGTATCATGCAAATCGTTGACGCCAGACAAGTACAGTGCCCAGTGTTGCTTCCCGGTCAATGATAACTTGCCCAGATGAGAGAGATGCGGACAGCCCTCTACGTCGGGCTCAGAAAACAGCTTAACATTCGGTGGATGTACTATATACCAACCTTGTGTACACAAAAATCAAGTAGGCTACAGAATGGAATACAATAACCCGCTGGGAGCGGCAGTTCCGTATTAGGGAGACTGGTAAGATTCACAATTCAGGCATTGGATGCACTTCCAATGCTCTGCTGCTAGTTTGCCAGCAAAGTATGCTACATGTTTTAAGTCTCTTGTTGGCATTTGGGATCAGATGAGATTGCAAGTATTGATCCGATTGGTATGGTGGACACAGAGGCCCCTGCTATTAGAAATAAGAAGAGCGCTCCCAAACTTCCTTTTTTTTTTTTTTTAAAAAAAAAAATACTTGTTACTCCTATGCGGCCCCATCAGGGGGCCATGAGGAGCCACTCGGAAACCCAAGTGGAGAGAGCGCTCCCAGAGAGGTTGTGAGCAAGCGTCATGGGAAGAAACCAGGCCCTCCTACATACAAGGTGCGCTTTTTTCCACCATTGACCCCAGGAACAAGCTGGGTTTGAATTTAATATGCCAAGTATAGATATTCATGCATGCATACTGTATGCAAGATTCCCAAACCAGAAGGAGAGCAAGACTCCTAGTGAGAAACTGTAGCACTGCGCTGGTTGTTTTGAACTCAGCCCTCGTACTCGAACTGTCTAGCCACATTCACGTTTCTCGGGAAATTATCCCTACTCCCGAGACTGACCATGCCCAGGATCTATACATAAGACCAGATACTGCAAAGCGAAAGAACGCAAATATCGATCCCGCAGGTGAAATATAAATGCCCTAAAAATCGCAAACAAGGTATCCCACAAACATCATTCGCGCAGGTGAAAGTTCGCGCTTCAGCATCCAGTGCGAACTTGCACAGTTATTATTTTACAGACAGTGACAACAGAACACCTCCATCTCTTGAGTCAGCTCATACATGGCATCTCAGGCAATGAGAAGGCAGACGGGAGAGCCGCCGACTCTGTTTAAGGCCAGATCTCTCTCCAATCCAGAATG